CAGGTGCAGTCGACACCGTCGGTTTTCGCCGAAAACAAGGACGACCCGTTCGCCCAAATTGCCAACATCTGCGCCTTATTAGACCGCATTAATAGACAAGAACTCGCCGTATTGTCCGCTAAAATAGCGGCCGCCACATCTGGCAAAGCGCGATTTAAAGCCATTAGCAAACATAAAATGCTTGTAGAAGCCCTCTGGGCGTTTCGGAAAAGAAAGCCACTGTACTGAGAAGAACCGGCGAAAGAAACTCAGCGGGCTTTTTTTTTTTTTTTTAAATAAGCAGTTTGACATAAATTCGTTAAAATACAATAAATTCCTGAGTTAAGCCATAAAGAGGCATACGCGTGTAGGTTAGCGCTCACCGGCCATAGGCCGCTTGTACTAGTCTCAGCCTACCTCTCGGGGAACAAAACCTTATTACAAAGCGACCTAGATACGCTACTCAACTTAGGCCCTTCCGTGATAAAAAAAATTGCAGGAGATCTAAACTGCAAACACGACTCATGGGACATCCACAGCATCCCAAATAACAACGGAAAGCATCTCTTTAGCTTATCCGATAATTTAAACTTTAGCATAATTGCTCCTGCGACTCCCACTAGGTATCCTACGGTGGACAACTAGCAACACGCGACACCGAGTATCCTAGATATCATGTTATTCAAGGAGGTCTCGCTCGACATCGAGTCGATAGACAAACCATGAACTAGATTCAGATCACAGGCCCGTCCTGTGTAAACTGGGCCAGAACGCCGGCGCGGTCCCTCCGACCAAATCCGTAGTGGACTGGCATCGTCTTGAGGTCAAACTCAAGGCCTTGGACTCCCAGGACTTAGTCGATCTACCCGAGACGATAGCTACGTTCGATGACGCACATCGAGCGATAGCAAGTCTCCGAGAAACCATCACTTCCACAGTCGCAGACTCGGAACGGACGGTTAAACTGTCGGACGACCGACGGTTTAACTTTCCGCCCGACCTGCGACTGCTAATTAGGCAGAAAAATGCAGCCAAACGCGCTTTCGACCGATACCGATCGGAATGGAACCGAACCCTACTTCGACACCTTCAGCTAGAAGTCAAAGATCGCGTATCGGAACACCGACATACAACGTGGGATACTCTCCTAGAGGACATCGAGCCATCGCACACCGCCTACTGGCGGTTGGCCCGCAGTCTGAAAGCAGACCCCCGCGAATCTCTACCGCCGTTAGTTAGACCTAATAGCGCTTCAGTAGCCCTAGATGACTCCGAAAAAGCCGAATGCCTTGCGGACAACCTAGAGCAGCAATGTACGCCATCGCGCGAACACATCGATACAGCCCACCTAACGGAGGTGGACCGCGTAATCGAGATTAGGGCTGCGCTTCCACCGGAAGGCGATCCTTTGAATCCAGTGACCCCTGAAGAGGTTCATTATTAAAAACTTAAAACCCAAATCCGCCCCGGGCCCAGATAATATTAGTAACAAAATTCTTAAAGCTCTCCCTGGGCCGCTTATCTGTTTACTGGCGACCATTTACAATACTTTACTCTCCAGTTGCTCCTTTCCGGACGACTGGAAAGAAGCCAGGGTTATCGGCATTCGCAAAGCCTAATAAACCACCCAATCAGCCCTCTAGTTATCGTCCCATCAGCCTCCTCAGTTGCCTGGGGAAGCTCTACGAGCGGCTTTTATTAAACAGGCTCAATGAGCACGTGTTTTCCAACGGCCTTCTGCCGGCGGAACAATTCGGATTTCGAGCTAGACATTCCTGTCCCGATCAACTATTCCGCCTAACGGAACATATCCTAAAAGGCCTAAATCACCCTAAACACATTAGTACAGGGGCTCTTTTCTTCGATGTCGCAAAAGCATTCGACAAGGTCTGGCACAACGGCTTACTTTACAAGCTGCACACACTCAAAGTGCCAGATAGGCTCGTACACACCATCCGGGCCTTCCTGTCGAACCGCTCTTTTCGATATCGAGTTGAAAGCACCCTCTCCACAAGCCGCCGCCTCACGGCCGGCGTACCACAAGGCTCCTGCCTCTCACCTTTGCTCTTTACGCTCTACACGAGCGATATACCTAAAGACCCCCACGTCAATCTCGCGCTTTTCGCGGATGACACGGCGCTCTTTTATTCAGACCGCAACCTTAGACAACTAACCACTCCAAAGCGCTGCCGACCGCCTGGGCGATTGGTTCCGCAAATGGAGAATAGAATTAAATCCCGAAAAGAGTGTGGCGATTCACTTCACACGAAGTACTTACCCGTCACATCTTTATAATGGCCCTCGTCAATGCAGAAAGTTGGGGCAAATATCCCTTTATGGCCAACCGCTCCCCTGGGAGAAAAACGTCAAATACTTAGGAGTCACTTTCGACTCGCGTATGTCATTTACTACGCACATTAATAACGTTCGCAATAGAGCCGCGTTTGTCTCTGGTCGGCTACACAATTTAACTAACGCTAAAAGTAAAATGCCCTTAAGGCACAAATTATTATTATATAAGACCTGCGTACGACCTATAATGTCTTACGCATGCATGACCTTCGCCCACACGTACCCTACTCGCTTGTACAAGTTGCAAATAGTACAAAACAAGTTCATCCGCCGCGCAACCGGTGCGCAGTGGTATCAACGCAACGTCGACCTGCACAGCGATTGCAGACTCCCGACGATTCGCGAATATTTTAAAGACCTGACCAAACGGTTCTTCGATAGAGCCGAACATTATCCCAACCCTCTGGTGGTAAGCGCAGCAAATTACCAACCCGACACAAACGCGAACGTCAACAAGCGTCGCCCGCGAAACGTCCTCATCGACCCGGTCGAGGAAGGGGACCCGGACTTAGACACGCCGGACCCACCGCCTTGGGTCCCGCCGGACAACACTACACCCACAGTTAGTGCAACAACAAACACACTAGTTCGCCCTCGCCTCCGAGCACGGTGAGACCAACACAACGCGTACACAAGGTACACCCGCGTTCCGGGGCGGTTCTCACCGCCCACAGCCACCGATTAGCTAATTGCACAGTCGACGGCCATCGGGGTTTCGGTCCGAACCACGACCTCGATGGCCCTTAGATGACACACCATAGTTAAACGCACGCATGATCACATGCGTGGCCCTACCCACAGCGGAGGGCCCAAACCCGTGGGTTCTGGCTAGCCCACCGGTTCTGCGTCAGATGAAGCTTTAATAGTCTCGGGACTGAAAGCAAAAACATCAGTTAATACAGGATACAAGATACAAGGAGTTGAGCTTTTCACAGATGATGTATTACTGTTGCCGCTATAATAAAAAATACTAAAAAAACAGGATAAAAAATATTTAAGCGGGGCTCACATAAAACAGACATGATTTTTTTGCCGTATTTATAGATAATGCTACGGAAGCCTTCGTGCGGGAGTCCGACTTGCACAGGACACTGGGTTTTTATTAAATTAAGTGTATAGCACTATAAAAATATTAATAATAATAAACTTTCTTCTGAACAAAGTCAGAAAGGAATTAAACTGTAATTAGGCATTGCAGTTTAATTCCTTTCTGACCCGCAAACTAGGCAATACCTGTCATGCGGAGGTTAAAAATTAATAACCTTAAAAATTTTAATAGCAAAGTTTTCAAATATTCAAAACGAAACAGTGTTCGTTTGCTGTAGATGAAACAGAGTAATTAGATGACGCTAAACATTGCTTAACAATGTACTAATCAAACAAAGCTACGATGAAATACGTTGAGATTTTCGTCGGTGTCAAGATAAGCCGTTTAGCTCGGTGGGTAGAGCACCGGGCGCGCATCCCGGTGAACGCAGGTTCCATTTCTCTACAAAGTTTTAAATGAAAAAAAAAAAAAACAAACCCATATTCCAGAGCAAGTATTTGATTGAAACAAGAATATCGACATCAACTGCACAAAAACAACTATGAAATGAAATGCTATGTTTTTGTGTTACAATTTTGCCTTTTTGAGGTCACCGCTTAACATACCTCCCCCACAGACTGCCATAAAGCACGATCGTGAGATACCTGTTCTTGTCCTACAAATAGTTTTTTTTCTTTCACTGTTTCATAAAATTTGTATCAATTGTATAGGCGAAGCTTGTTAAAAAAGAATTGTCGCGGATCCATTCTTAAACGATAAATATTTTTATGAGTCATATCATACACAATTATTCCGAAGCTCTAGGGCTTTAACTATTTGTGGGAAAGTTAAAACGGAAGCAGAACAAGAAGAAAATATAAAAACCGAGTCTAAGCAGAAACGGATTTTTAAATACTGTGAAAAAATAACTCTTCTGCATCAAATTAATATTCAATATTTAAAGTTAAATATGTACGTAAGTAGAGTTAAGTAAATACGTAAGTAGAGATAAGTACGTAAATAGAGGTAAGTAAATACGTAAGTAGAGTTAAGTAAGTACGTAAAAAAAGTTCTTAATAAATTGGACCTTACACCCTCGTTCTTTTTTCAAATTACGTTAAAAAAAAAGTCCCGCCGAGTTTCTTTCGCCGGTTCTTCTCGGGTCAGTGGCTTCTTTTCCGAACCAGTAGTAGTGTTTATTGACACTCAATAAGTAAGTGTAATGCTTCTATATTTAATAACTATCGACCCGCCCCGGCGTCGCACGGGTGCAATGTATTATACATATAAACCTTCCCCTTGAATCACTCTATCTAGTAAAAACCACATGAAGATCCGTTGCGTAGTTTTAAAGATCTAAGCATACATAGGGACAGACAGACAGCGGGACGACATTGTTTTATACTATCTAGTGATTAAGTTTAAAAAAAAAGTCCCGCCGAGTTTCTTTCGCCAGTTCTTCTAGGGTCAGTGGCTTTTTCCGAATCGGTAGTAGTGTTCTTTGACAAACAAAAAGTAAGTGTAATGCTTCTATATTGAGTAGAGACATTTGGAATTCCGCTAGGGTTGTATGGGTGACCTGTTTGCTCCGGTTGAACAGAGACATTTGAATTTGGAATTCCGCTAGGGTTCTATGGGTCACCTGTTTGCTCCTGTTGGTGGCGTTGTTGGAGCGGCCCTGGCGCAGCACGTCGCGGTGGCGCGCGATCAGCTCGAGCACCGTCCTCTTCTCCAGCTCGGTGAAGTTCTTCGAGCGCTCCTTGTGCCCGCGTCGGGCCCGGAACGCGCTGGCACCGCTCCGCGTCGACATATCAGCCTGGAACAGCGTACCAACCCCGTATACATTCATGGCGGCGGTAGACGAGATTGTCTACGACGATCGTTTGTCGTCTCATTTTAACACTAGCTGAACCCGGCCACGCTTCACAATGACTTTTTTTTTCGTATAAAATAGGTTGACTATCTAAAACAAATACATATTTTGCTTTTTGGCGTGTACATAAATATAAAAAAATAGTTTCTCAAAGTTGGCAAATACCTGTCCTTACCAGATATCGGTTCAAAATTGGTTGACACGAATCTTATTTGGCTAATAGAACCAATAAAGAAAAGTTTTTGGTCCCTTTTCTAAAGTCATCCTTAACTGAAAATTGACTTATTTTTTTTTATAAGGTGACAACAGATTTTTATAGCACGTAGCACAATGATTAACATTTTTAATCTAATAATTCAGTGATCATATATGTATGTATATCGTTTTCTACAGTTATTATAAATGAACTGAGTTAGGTATTCTAAAATAAATTTTGCATGTGGACTATCTTTTCATCTCATTTTATGCGAATTATTTTTTTATTTGCAGGTTTAGTTCTTTTGTTCTTACGTCAACGCCAAAAGCGCACGAGCAATATTGAAATCGAAATGGTCAAATAAACGAATAACATTTTATCTTAGCTTACTTTGATTGAGGGACCTTATTAACTACTAAATATTTGTATTCCGTCATCAGTATTTATATCGACGATGATTTATGAATAATTATGAACAAACATTCATTTTCTCGTTCGAGTACCTATATGTATAACTGTATATAAGTAATACAGCGAGTAGTGTGACATCAATGACCGTTAAATCGTTAAAATTTTAAGGTATTTTCAGGGATTTAAGGGTCAGCCCGCGGAAGGGGAAAAGCGCCGAACTAGGATGTAAGCTTGACTCGTATTTCTGGAGTGTTCGGCTTTGAATAACCTCGAAACACCTGCGAGTTTCTCTAGTTTTAGTACAGGACTATATGTTTCAAAACATGTTCTGATTTTTGTAGTACTTGATAATAAATAAAATGATAAATTTCGAAATAATACTGGTAAACTTATATATTTAGCACGGTTGGTCAAAGGGTTCGTATGCGTGGTATTAGAGCATAACGCACATTTACGGTGCGAATCGGTGGATCACACCTATAAGCGAATGTTTTTCACATAGTCCTTACTAATGTTATAAACGCGGAAGTTTGTATGTATGGATGGATGTTTGTTACTCTTTCACGCAAATACTAATGAATGGATTTTAATGAAACTTTACAATATTATAGCTTATATGTACATCTGAATAAGACATAGACTATAATTTATACCCATATTTTATGTATATCTGTCTTTCTGTCTGAATGTTATGCCTTCAGCCTATTCTTACACAGACGTAGTCGCGGGCAGCAGCTAGGTTCTTATACAGCGTGTCTTTACAATCGCGACAGTAAATGAAAACACATATAGAGGATAAATTTTTAAAATTGTATTAAACATTTACATTCTTTAAACATCAATATTTACAGAGTTATTAAATTTTCCAAAAAAACGAATTTTAGAACACCCTTACATAAAAAACTGTAACGTAAAGTTCACTTTTAAAGGTCACAAAGCATATGAATGGGTTTAATGAATATGAAAGAGACAAAACATACTGTTAGAAGGAGAGGCTTGTAATGAGACGCTGTGGCAATGAATTAAAAAGTCTCTGAATGTATGAATCAGTCAGTTGTAGTTGTATAGGATGTTATAAACTTTTTTTTTTTTACTTAATTAGTTTGTTCGAAAAATATTTATTTTTTTAACGTTAATATTTTTTTATGATTTTGCAAGTACCGTTAGACGTGTTCATTTATTGTCGCGATTGTAAAGACAGACTGTATACATACAGGCTCCCCTAATGTTTTTTAAGGGGAAATGTTGTCGAGCGAGTAGACGGTTCACCTTGTGTAAATGAATACCGCCATATACCCAATAGAACAATAACTCCCGATAGATTGCAGACGCGCTGAAAACCTTAAAACAGTGTGCCCTGAAAACCTCACTCACCAGACGAAACGCGAAAGTTTAATACTCCTCTTCACGCCGATCTTCTATAAGGCATCTACCTTTTTCGTTCAACAACAGAAGCTGTTCGTTTATTATATTATTATTATTAAAGTTTGCAATACAAATGTCCTTAGGTCTAACGAACGCTTAATGAAACCTCATAAAAATTTTAAGCGACTTAGAATATGTTATAATTGTTTGTTCCATGATAAGATAGACTCTTTAGTGTTCGATAAAATTTGTAATAAAATGGAAAATTAGCAATGCCGCGAGCGTTTCAACCTGAGTCCTCCGGGTTACGCGCTCATCGCTCTAGCCACTGAGCTAAACGGTATATCTATACACCGAAGAAAATCTCATCGTTTTTAGGGTTCCGTACCCAAAGGGTAAAACGGGACCCTATTACCAAGACTCCGCTGTCTGTCTGTCTGTGCGTCTGTCACCAGGCTGTATCTTATGAACCGTGATAGACAGTTGAAATTTTCACAGACGATTGCCGCTACAGCAACAAATACTAAAAAAAAGAATAAAAAATATTTAGGGGGGGCTCCCATACAACAGACTTGAATTTTTGCCGTTCTTATAAATAATGGTACGGAACCCTTCGTTTACGAGTCCCACTCGCACTTAGCCGGTTTTGATTATTTTGTTTTTATTGCATTTTAAGCAATGCTTGGCGCCATCTAGTGTTTTCTTTAGATCGATAAGATCACCTTTTATGAAAAAATTTTAGAATGAAATATTTGAAAACTAGAGATTTCACTTTTGCTATTAAAAGCTGCCATCTATAGTGCCACATATTTATAATGTAAATGCGGGTAAATTCAAGAGAATATTTGTTTAATACGTTTTGACTGATACTTACAATGACCAATGTTAGCAGGTACTTGTAAAAAAACTCAATTATAACATTAACCGATTTCCTAATCAGCTATAACATTTTAATGTTGGCCGCAGCTATTAAGTTGAACCGGTCTGGTTTCCCAAGGTCCGACAGACGGTTAGTGTTCGATTTAAAATCAGCGCCAAAGCTTAATCTAGGCACCGCAAAGCACTTGAGATTTTAGATATCGCCAATAATATGCCAATAGCAAAAGGCCATACATGATCAAAGGAATTTTTATTCTATGTGCCAAATAGTGGGCCAAGTAAGTCATAATACGCTAACAACTTGTTTTCCGCCTGTTTCATCAATTTGGTTCAGATCACATATAAACCAGGGGAATTAGAAAGGGGTTGAGGATAACGGGGAGTACATGGGCACAAAGGTAAAAGTAAAAAAAGAACTCGCTGCTATAGCTGTAAGACGTAGTTAAGGCATATTTTGTAGTTTTAAGAGTACCCAAATATTGTATTTTATAAATAAAATCAACATAATTTAAAAAAAGGTACGGACCAATTGTCTGTAGTGAAAGCTTACTTATCAAAAATAAAAAAAGTAAGATAATAAACCATATTTGCGGGGGTTATGCCTCCTGTGTACAGAAAGGCAAGACAGGGCGAGATGCCGCCGCGAAACATAGATATTTCTATTATTATTTCGAAAAAATACAGGATTCTTCACGATATTTTCCTTCACCTATAACCACGGGATAAATAAGCATTTAAATTTACAAAACACAATTTCAATGGCACCGACATCGGGAATTGAACTCAGGTTCCTCGAGTATATTTAATTGAAAGCGAGCGCCCGGACATTCAGCTTTTAGAAAAGTGAGCGTAAAGCTACCTAGTTAGCATAATTTTTCTCCATTTCTTGTGACTTTACCCCCTTATTAATATAATTTGTTGCTACGTATTGCAGTGAAGATTTTCTGTTGTCAGAAGAATATTATAATGGATAGAGTATAACATGTTGTATACAAAAGTTACACTAAAACAGTTAGCCCTTCCTCGCCATAATTAAGCCGCAACAAACATTTCTTCCAAAAAAATTAACTCAATGAATTTTAGAAGCAAAATGAATTTCAAATATTAATCGAAATAAAGTAGAAAAATACCGGAGCTTTCAGCTAACGTGGCATACAGAGGCTGGAAAAATAATTCTTAAATTTAGCAATGTTTCAAATTAAATCCCGCAATATAAAATGACATAGGACAAAATGGCGTCGATCCGGTGGGCGAAAATGTTTTGAAATAATTAAATGAAAGCCAGCGTCATCCGAAACATTAGCACAAAATTTTGCACTAATTACATGGAAAGCGATTCAACCAACGGGTTGCAAAGACCGGCTTCGTCAAGATATTCTTAACGGCTAATTATTTATTCTTGATTAAATCAATATAAAAACAAACTTAAAACTGTTTCGATCTTATGTTGAGTTTTCTTGTTAACGAATCTTAAAGCTCTAAATAGGAAGGAGAGTGAATTTGGGAATGTTGGTGGTTTCCGGATGGCCAATTGCAATTGGCCAATGAATGAAATCTTTTCCAATAAAGGAGAATAAACCATCAAATAAAGAGTTACTAAACACACTAGTATGTATGCACGTAGTATGTGCAAATTATTGGTTTATTACCAATTGTTTTTATACAAACGGTTCTTACAGTTATAATTTGCATGTGGTAGTGGTACGTGCAAATTATTGGTTAACCACAATACCACTGTGTTGATTTTTAAGAAAAGGATCTGACTTTTGGAGTTTTCTAACATTAATTTCATTGCGGCTTCTCTTTTTCATGTAAATTTGTATCAAACACAAGTGGTAATTTAAAATTTTAAACATGTTCAAGAAGACCGATTCATTGTGAAGAAATTTACCACAACATTAAGCTGCGACAAGATTCTACTACGACTTCATGACTATGAATATAAAGCGTTATAGGTTAGGTAAAGACTCCAAGCTTTACAAAGAGCAACTAATTGCCAGGTTACGGCTTACTGGTTAACTAAGACACCCACCCGGTTAGACAATATGGTGCTATGTAGGTCTATTAGCGCATCATTCTTCACGGACCCCGT